CTTAAAAAGAATGAATATATGTATAACTGATCTGAAGAAGGCAATGGCAACGTACTCTAGTACTCTTGCCTGGAAAATCCCATGGACGGAGGAGCCTAGTAGGCTGCAGTCCATGAGGTCGCTAAGAGTCAGACACAACTGAGCAACTTCACTTTCACGCATTGGAGAAGGAGATGGCAACCCACTCCAGTGTTCTTACCTGGAGAATCCCAGGGATGGGGAAGCCTGGTGGGCTGCCGTCTATGGGGTCGCACAGGGTCAGACGTGACTGAAGCGACTTAGCAGCAGCAGCAGCAGCAGCATGTATAAATGAATCACTTTGTTGTATACCTGAAACTAACACAACACTGTAAATCAACCATACTCTGATAAAATTTAAGGGAAAAAAAAAAGAATTAAGTCAAGAAATTTCATTAGGTATAGCCCAGTATACCCCAGGTCATCTGACTTAGTTAAATGATTATAGCCAGTTGTTAATCTCCTGGTTGTACATCATGGAGCATCTGATCTTTATCTGAAGATTGGTTACTGAGATAAGCTTTAGAAACAAACGTAGAGTGTCTTTTTTAATAACTTAATTAAATCTTTTAGCAATATGACAAAACAACAAGGAACTATCTCAGAAGTGAGTCTTATAAACACTAGACCTTAGTTAACAAAACTAGAAACTTAATTTAACAATTAAAAAAACTTAATATTCAGTGAAACATGATTTTTTTCATTGAGAGCATTAACCCTGTAGCCAGGGAAGGCTTTAACCCATCAAATAAAAATGAGGTTTGAAAAAGAAAAAAAAAAGAATTAAAAAAAAAATGAGGTTTGTCAGGGAGCCAGGAAAATCCAAGCAGCCATCTTGGATTTACCATAGCCCTGACTGATTTACAGCTTTTGTTCACCCATTTTTAATTCCCTGATTTAGGAGTAGAATGTTGCCATGTTTTAAGAACATCAGAATAGCAAAATTCTAACCGTGAGGGCTTATTTTTTATAGAAGCAGAATGAGCTTTGTCTACATGTACTATAATCTTAAATAATGTTTATTTGCTTTACCAAAGTAATGAAAGATTTTTAAAATGAATATAAATCCCTTAAAGGCAAAGAAATTCATAATCTGTTATCAAAAGCTCCACTGTAAGAAAACTTTGTTCTCTTAATAGAGAGAGTAGACTAAATTCCAGTCTGTTAACTTTGTTCTCTTAATAGAGAGAGTAGACTAAATTCCAGTCTGTTACCAGTTTACCAGATAACAAACAAAATTTGGTTATTGGTTAATCTTAGAAAAGTCTTTTCCACAAATCTTGAAGTAGCAGTATTCTTGCAAAGGCATCAGAGTGAAACCATAGAAGGCATGTTTAAAATCTGATTAAATTGCAATTGACAAAGTAACCTGGTCATTGCTGTGACTTGTAACACTTTAACATGATAGCTAGAATTATAACTGACAACATTATACCAGGACATATCAAATTTTCATGAATTCCACATAATTTTAGGATACGTATATTAGTAACATCAACCATAACAGTGTAACTTGAGAAGATTTATTACCCCTTCAACAGTACTTCCCATATAGTTTAACATGTCCAGTGAACCCAGGTAGTTTAATACCTCTTTGGGATGTCCCAGGGGCCCTCTGAGGCATCCCAAAGTTAGCTAGAAGTCAAGTTATTTAGAAGTTTTTCTGATAAACACCAAAAGGGTATATAGCATTCAGTCAGATAGAATCACATAGATCACTGTGAAACAATATATTCACTTAGCCAAAGTAGCAAAGAAGATTTCAAAGGTAAACATAGAACAGATCACTTCAGAGGTGAAGAAACTTAAAATCCATTATCAAAGGCATTTCAACATCTCAAGAAAACTTGCATTTATGCACAAAACTCTTCCCTTGATGTCCACTTTCTATAAAACCTTCTTATCACTTTTTATACCCATTACTTTGTTCTCCCATCCTGAAACAGCCACCTGTAAGTTAGACCTACTTCCTTTTCCCTTCATAAAATGTAATTTCATTCCTCATACATTCTTTACTGAAAACACACTTCCTACTTTCCTTTAGCAACCAAGAACTGACATTTATATTAGCATTCTATAGATTGGTGAACATAAATACCAGTGATAATTTCCAAAAAAAACACATTTGCCTTCTTATAGAGAATATCTCAGGATGGCACCAAACACTGTTCATTAACAGTCCAAAATCTTTAAGGGTGTTTGCTATGACCAGTGCATTCTCTTGGCAGAACTCTATTAGCCTTTTCCCTGCTTCATTCTGTACTCCAAGACCAAATTTGCCAAATTTGTTACTCCAGGTGTTTCCTGACTTCCTACTTTTGCATTCCAGTCCCCTATAATGAAAAGGACATCTTTTTTGGGTATTAATCCTAGAAGGTCTTGTAGGGCTTCATAGAACTGTTCAACTTCAGCTTCTTCCGCATTAGTGGCCAGGGCATAGACTTGGATTACCTTGATACTGAATGGTTTGCCTTGGAAATGAACAGAGATCATTCTGTCGTTTTTGAGATTGCATCCAAGTACTGCATTTTGGACTCTTTTGTTGACTATGATGGCTACTCCATTTATTCTAAGGGATTCTTGCCCACAGTAATAGATATAATGGTCATCAAGAAAATTAGAGATACCAAGGGAATATTTCATGCAAAGATGGGCACAATAAAGGATAGAAATGGTATGGCCCTAAAAGAAGCAGAAGATATTAAGAAGAGGTGGCAAGAATACACAGAAGAACTATACAAAAAAGATCTTCATGACCCAGATAATCATGATGGTATGATCACTCACCTAGAGCCAGACATCCTCGAATGCAAAGTCAAGTGGGCCTTAGGAAGCATAACTATGAACAAAACTAGTGGAGGTGACGGAATTCCAGTTGAGCTATTTCAAATCCTAAAAGATGATGCTGTGAAAGTGCTATGCCAGCAAATTTGGAAACCTTAGCAGTGGCCACAGGACTGGAAAAGGTCCGTTTTCATTCCAATCCCAATGAAAGGCAATGCCAAAGAATGCTCAAACTATCGCACAATTGCACTCATCTCACACGCTAGTAAAATAGGGCTCAAAATTTTCCAAGCCAGGTTTCAACAGTATGTGAACTGTGAACTTCCAGATGTTCAAGCTGGATTTAGAAAAGGCAGAGGAACCAAAGATCAAATTGCCAACATCCATTGTAACATAGAAAAAGCAAGAGAGTTCCAGAAAAACATCTACTTCTGCTTCACTGATTATGCCAAAGCCTTTGACTGTGTGGATCACAACAAACTGTGGAAACTTCTTAAAGNGCTGAGCGCCAAAGAATTGATGCTTTTGAACTGTGGTGTTGGAGAAGACTCTTGAGAGTCCCTTGGACTGCAAGGAGATCCAACCAGTCCATCCTAAAGGAAATCAGTCCTGAATATTCATTGGAGGACTGATGTTGAAGCTGAAACTCCAATACTTTGGCCACCTGATTCGAAGAGCTGACTCATTTGAAAAGACCCTGGTGCTGGGAAAGATTGAGGGCAGGAGGAGAAGGGGAGGACAGAGGATGAGATGGTTGGGTGGCATCACCGACTCAATGAACATGGGTTTGGATGGACTCTGGGAGCTGGTGATGGACAGGGAGGCCTGGCATGCTGCGGTTCATGGGGTCTCAAAGAGTCAGACACGACTGAGCGACTGAACTGAACTGAACTGAACCCTGAATACAGGGTTCAAACTTACAACCTGCCCCTCTACTTTACTGTAAATACCCATAGTATTTTACTTTAAATACCCATAGTATTTGTCTAGTATATTATACAATTTGCAGATTCACCATATCACTTCTCTATGTCGCTCCCCACCATCCCCTGACAGGGAAGCCTGGCATGCTTCAGTCCAAGGGGTCACAAAGAGCCCCACACGACTTACTGACTGAACAACAAAAAACCTTCCCCCATTCTACCATAAGAGCTCCACTAAATCAGGGGTTTTTATCTGTCTTTCTAAGCCATGCATCACAATCTGAAAAGGTATTGGCACTGGTACTAGGTGCACAGCAAATATTTGTGGAGGAAGTGAATTTTAAAAAATATAGCATGATTCCAATTTTACTTTCTTATTTTAAAGCATAAACATGTATACACACGTGTAGAGGGAGGGAGAAGAAAAACAGTCAAAATGTTAATGGTGATTTTAAGTGATATTTTCCCTTCTTCATGTTTTCCCGTGGTTTTATTCCCCAAACTCGATGTGAAAATGTATTATCTCATCATAAGAAAACTGCTTTTTAAAACGTCTCTTCTAAATCTCGGGTGACATACATTGCCACGCACAGCGAATTGTGCCTACTGCAAGTTGCACAAAGCCATTTTTCTGTAATCAACAATTCAGAAGGCATTGATGGTCTTTAAATAAATTACAGGTTTAAGCAATCGCCCAGTATTTTGTCGTGGTTAAACATTTCTTAAAGGAATAAGAAACCTTGCTCCTGCGGGCGACCGCGTTATCCCTGGGGAACACACCCACCTAGCAACCGGGAGTGGAGCTGAAGCCTGGCACTGCGCCTTTAATTCCCGGGTTGGGAGGGGCGGTGGAGAATTTCCGCTCCCCCACTCCCACCGCGGCCCTGGAGGCAGCTGTCACCTGTAAGGCGAGCACCGCGCATGGGGGATGGAGTCCGGCGCCCATTGGACAGGCTGTAAAGGCAGACACCTACCCCGAAGACTGGGGACCCCGCGGGGCTGGGACGGGGGTCGCGCGCCGCGGCCCCCGGCTCCTTTCTCCAGGAGACTGCCGGGCCCCGCTGCGCTGGCATGACCGAGGTCCAGCTTCGAGGACACGCCCGCCACGCCTCGGTGAAAAAGATCAGGTGAGCCTGGTCGAGGCGGACCTGACTCCCGGAACCCCGGCTCCCTCCTCCGGCGGCGCCGCGACGTCCACCTTGCCTAGCAACCGGGAACCGCGGAGTTGGTGGGAGCGGGCGGCCTGGCTTTCCCCTTGCGGGGTGATAAGTGACCATGGCGCTGGCCGCGGCCGCGGCCGCAGCGGCCGCCGGGGTGAGCCAGGCGGCGGTGCTGGGCTTCCTGCAGGAGAACGGCGGGAAGGTGCGCAACTCGGAGCTGCTGAGCCGCTTCAAACCGCTGCTGGAGGCCGGCGACCCACGCGGCCGCGCCGCCCGCAGGGACCGCTTCAAGCAGTTTGTCAACGACGTGGCCGTGGTGAAGGAGCTTGACGGCGTCAAATTCGTGGTACTGAGGAAGAAGTCGCGGTCCCGCGACGGACCCGAGCCCCCGCCCTGCTGCTTCCAGAGCGCCCGGGAGGCACCAGCCCCGCCGTCGAAGGTCACTTCTGTATCACAGGAGGAAACCGCGGCCTCGGGGGCTCTGTCCTCGTCCTGGGCACCGAGGGCGGCGGAACCGGCTGAGGACCCGGCCCCGCCATCAGAGCCGCAGGACACCACCGGGACTCCGGCCTCAGAGCCCACTCAGGGGCTGTTGTTAGACTCGGCCTGGCAGTTAGGGGTGCCCTCGGACCCCCAGATTCCAGCTTTTGAGCTGGCCCAGCCCGCTGAGGGTCTCTCTGAAGATATGGCCCCACCGTCCACGGCGCCGTCAGAGGCACCCTCGCCCCGCATAGAACCGCCACACCCAGAAGCTGCGCCTCGGGGGCCACCACCACCCGCTCCGCGCCCGCAGCCTCAGAAGCCCTGCATGCTGCCTGTGCGCTGCGTCCCCGGCCCCTCGGCGCTGCGGATCCGGGTTGAGGAGCAGGGCCTGCGCAGGCAGCTGTCGGAGGAGCCCAGCCCGCGGAGCTCCCCGATGCTGCTGCGGCGGCTCTCGGTTGAGGAGGCCGGCCTGGGCCTCGGTCTGGGCTCTGGCCGCTCCCCTCACCTGAGGCGCCTGTCGCGCGCCGGCCCGCGCCTGCTGAGCCCCGACACCGAGGAGGCTCCGGCTGCCCCGCCGCCGTCCGCCGTGCCCCTGGAGCCGGCCGAACACGAGTGGCTAGTGCGGGTGGCTGGGGGCCGCTGGACCCACCAGCTGCACGGGCTGCTGCTGCGCGACGTCGGCCTGGCAGCCAAACGCGACTTCATGTCTGGTTTCACGGCCCTGCACTGGGCCGCTAAGAGCGGCGACCTCGAGATGGTGCAGCAGCTGGTGGAGGTCGCGCGGCGTGGGGGCGCACGGGTCGACGTCAACGCGCGCTCGCACGGCGGCTACACGCCGCTGCACTTGGCGGCGCTGCACGGCCACGAGGATGCGGCCGTGCTCTTGGTAGTCCGCCTGGGTGCGCAGGTGCACGTGCGCGACCACAGCGGACGGCGCGCTTACCAGTACCTGCAGTCCGGCGCCTCGTATGCTCTGCGTCGCCTACTTGGCGACCCTGGACTGCGAGGTTCGACCGAAACTGACGGGGCTGCTGGTAGTAGTGGCAGTTTTGCGGCCCGGCGCCCCGTGCAGGTGGCGGCCACCATCCTCAGTTCCACCACTAGCGCGTTTCTGGGCGTCCTGGCTGATGACCTGATGCTCCAGGATCTGGCTCGAGGCATGAGGAAGTCAAGCTCCTTAAGCAAATTCTTGGGAGCCTCGCCCATGGCTCCTCGTAAAAAGACAAAGATCCGCGGCAGTCTGCCAGCCTTTTCAGAAATCTCTCGTCGACCCACTCCGGGGCCCTTGGCTGGTCTAGTGCCCAGCCTACCCCCAGCAACCTGACGGTTCCCAAGGTTACGACTTAGTCTCTCTAATCGGCCCTCCCTCTCACAGTCAAAGCCTGCCCAAGACCATGGCCAACACTTTTGGCTCCATCGTGTCTCCAGCTTTGTCCACTGCAGCCTGTTTTACCCAAGCGGGCCTTTGCCGCCAACTTCTTAATCTTTCTTCAGAGATGGGGTTCAAGATCTCCGTGAGAGCCTCCTATGAAGAACTCTGGAAATCAGGCTTGAACCTTGGAGGAGATTTGCAATTTAGGATCAAAGGTTCGGGGGCAGCAGCTGGTCTGGCCCCTGAATGATTTAACCCAATGCCTCTGCATCTATATACTTCCAAAGCAGAATTACAGCTTTGTGTGATGATAGATTATTTGTCAGCTTTTAAGCTATGCAGTGCATTTGTAATTTGATGCTTTTATCCTGTTTTTAAGTTGAAATGAGGTAAAACAACTTTCATAAAATAACCTCTTGAAATTATATTTTTCCAAAATGCTCAGACATTTTCAATCTTTTGCTAAATATTTTGGAATTCTATTTAAAAAAAAAACGATTAAGATCTAAAGGAATTAAGTCCCAACCAACAAAACCCTTGAATGGTTATCTACCTCATTTTAAGCAATCAAGATGTCAGACAGTCTTGAACACAGAAAGTGACCATTGTGAATGTAATTAATTAAAGTTATACTGTGAATGCTAAATGTTAGAAAATAAGTGCATCTTGGGAGTAAAAGTGATTTAACAATGAGAGAAAAGAGACATTTTTGGCAAATACTTTTAATTTGTGGTTGTCTTCCCCCCCCCNCCGCCCCCTTTGAGACCAGCTCTGGGTTATTTATTTATTTATTTTTAAATTGAAGAAGAAACAAAGGTACAGAGCAATTAGGTAACTTTGTCCAAAGTGTTAGTTGCTCAATCATGTCCGACTCTTTTTGACCCCATGGACTGTAGCCCACTATGCTCCTCTGTCCATGGAATTCTCCAGGCAAGAATACTGAAGTGGGTTGCCATGCCCTTCTTCTGTGGTTGTCTTTATGGTGAAATATAAACATGTATCTTTGGCAGTGGTCGCTGGCTACTTTGATATGGCATGAATATTTAACTTTTAATAATTTGATTTATTTGTGAATTGCACCATTGTGCCATGTTTCTGAATCTGTGGCTTTCAAATCTGGCTGAGCCTTTCACTGCAGTAGGTGAATATTCAAAGACAAAAAATGTCATAACCTAACACCAGGAAAATAACTGGTTAAATAGTAACAGATACAATTAAGGAGCAACTATTTTATATGAAAGTTCTATACAAGCAAAACTTATGTGGTAGCCATTTTAAAAAGCCATCTGAAAGCAAACAACTTATTCCAAAATAGCAAATGCAAAGTCTCCTTGCTCAGCGACTTTAGAGAGGGGTAGCTTAATTCACCTGTATCTTTGCTCCTATTTATAATTGAGAAGGTTTTAAGTATTGCCAGGATTTCTCAGGTTCAACCCAGCATAATTGTAATGGCTCTTTTCCCATTTTAAAGATATGGAGTCTATTTGCTCAACCAATTTTTAAAAAAATATCATATTGTAATAATGCTCTGCTTTTGCAAATTGGGTTTGCATGTGATTAGTTATACCAAATAGTTTTTGTGGCCAGGGTAGTGGGGCTCCCCTCCCATATATGTATCAATGAGGCCTCTGAAATTATTTAAGGCAGTCCTTCCTGGAATGTTTTGATTTAAACAATGAAATAAACATTTTCCCATTTTGTTCCTGCTTGTGTGATGCTGTACTTCCCTTAAACATTCTATAGGACTTGCTACTGTATTTGCCTTTCATTACTTTTATCCCCATCTTTTTGCTTCTTTCAAGCATTTTACTACTGAAAGAATTTGGATTTCTCTGCAAAGTAAAGGAATCAGCCAAACATGGATATGATAGCCAAAAACTGTAGGTAAATGTAGGCCCTGATCTGGCCTCTCCCATCTTCCTTGCCTGGAACTCTAGCTAAGCTTCACAAATTATTTCAAAATGCACATCAAATCGTCTGCCTCTGTGAAAAAATAAATGACGAGAGGCAATAATTAAAGCAATGTGAGGAGCTGAAGATATAAAAATATTAGAAATTTTTCATAATGAAAGAGAAACTTGACTGAGGGTAACAAAGTTCACACACACAGGTATGACCGGCTTTGAGAAAGACAAAATGTAAACCAGCATATTAGCGATAACAGTAATTAATGTTTATGGCACATTTAAATCAGAAGAAGTTTCTTAAACTGTGGAAGAATCTTTGTATTTCACAAGGGTGTGCTGCAAACCTTCCAAGTGAAGTAAAAATATTTGGCAAGAGTTTAAGGTCAATAAGCCTAACGTGCAGGTGTAAGAAACCACTGCTTTTCCCTTGCAGGCTAAGACCATCTGAAAGTATAAGGGAAGTTAGTAGGAAATTACAGTTTAATATGTATATGGGAAGTTTTCAAGAAGAATAACTGGTTAACAGGAGGCATACCTGTGGAAGGGTATTTCCAACAACCGACCCCCCCCCCCCACAATTAGTTGTTCATCAATTAAGGCAATTTATCTGGTTAAAATTATCACAAGGAACAGAATCACTCCTCTAAATGGGGAAAGAGTTAATTGCTGATGTAGATGTGTATGACTCATATCCACAGCAAGCTTCTTAATACAGTTGTACATTTCCTCTCAGGAGGATGGAGGCTGTTCTTGCGTATGTGTTACGTACCTAATGGAGACCAGGGTATGTTGTTGTTGTTCAGTTACTCAGTCTTGTCCGACTCGTTGGGACCCCGTGGACTGCAGCAAGCCAGGCTTCCCTGTTCTTCACAATCTCCCAGAGTTTACTAAAACTCATGTACATTGAGTTGGTGATGCCATCCAACCATCTCATCCTCTGTGGTCCCCTTCTCCTCCTGCCTTTAATCTTTCCCAACATCATGGTCTTTTCGAGTGGGTCAGTTCACCCCAAAGTATTGGAGCTTCAGCTTCAGCATCAATCCTTCCAGTGAATATTCAGGGTTGATTTCCTTTAGGAATGACTGGCTTGATCTCCTCGTGGTAAAAGGGACTGTCAAGAGTCTATCACCACAGTTCAAAGGCATCAATTCTTTGGCACTCAACCTTTTTATGGTTCAGCTCTCACATCCATATATGACTACTGGAAAAACCATAGCTTTGACTAGACATATTTTGTAGGCAAAGTAATGGCTCTGCTTTTTAATATGCTGTCACATTTAACAGCTTTTTAATATGCTGTCACATTTAACAGCATTTTAATATGCTGTCTAGGTTTGTCATAGTTTTTCTTCCAAGAAGCAAGAATCTTTTAATTTCATGGTTGCAGTCACCATCCACAGTGATTTTGGAGCCCAAGAAAATAAACTCTATCATGTTTCCACTGTTTTCCCATCTATTTGCCATGAAGTGATGGGACCAGATGCTACCATCTTAGTTTTTTGAATGTTGAGTTTTAAGATGGCTTTTTCACTCTCCTTTTTCATCTTCATCAAGAAGCTTTTTAGTTCCTCCTCACTTTCTGCCATACGGGTGGTTTCATCTGCATATCTGAGGTTATTGATATTTCTCCCCGCAATCTTGATTCCAGTTTATGCTTCATCCAGCCCAGCATTTTGCATGATGTACTCTGCATAAGTTAAATAAACTGGGTGACAGTATACAGTCTTGACGTACTCCTTTCCCAATTTTGACCAGGCTATGGGGAATGTATATATAACCTGTGTTTACTAAGTGCTAAGCACGGTTCTAAACACTGCAGGTATTCACCACCACCTTACAATGTATGTACTGTTAGTATCTTGATTTTTAAAGTGAGGAAGCCTAGAGAAACTGTAAGTAACCTGTATGGGTCTCAAGCTAGTAACTGTCATGGTCAGGATGGCATCCTGGTGCTCTTTTCCAGTAAAGCATCCTGTTACAGAAAAGCAAGGTGGTCTCATCTCAGCTCTTTATTCATTTAGTGACCTTAAGCAAGTCACCTAGTTCTCCAAGCTCCATCTTTCTCTCTGTGGAATTGGCAGTACTTATCCTACAGGCTGTGGGGAGGGAGGAGCACATGGAATGAGTAGGTAGAGTTGTCTGTGAACTGCAACACCATCCTGAAATATTACTAGAAGTGCCACGTTGGTCCCAAAGGGATATCTGGATGCATTCCAAAACCAAATAGCTCTGATTTGTGGTGTTGCTCTACCTGATCACCATTCTTTTACCATGTTAGTACCTGTATATATAAACAACAACACTGACACTACTAGGAAAAATATATTCCCACAAAAGGGAAACTATCCTATATTCTGTAAGTGATATCACATTATTTCAAATATCACAATGCCTTTTGTTTGTTTACTTTTGGCTGTACAGGATTTTCGTCGCTGTGTGTCGGCTTTCTCTAGCTGTGGCGAGCGGGCTTCTCATTGTGATGGCTTCTCTTCTTGCAGAGCACAGGCTCTAGGCTCATGCCGACTCAGTAGTGGTGGCACACAGGCTCAGCTGCCCAGTGGCATGTGAAATCTTTTCTGGTCAGGGATCTAACCCTCGTCTCCTGCATTGGCAGATGGGTTCTTTTTTTTTTTCTTTATTAATTTATTCTTAGCTTGCTGGGTCTTCATTGCTGCAAGTGGGCTTTCTCTCGTTGGGCTGAGTGGAGACTACTCTCCAGTTGCAGAGCTCAGGCTCTAGGCTCTCATGGGCTCAGTAGCTGTGGCACAGGGGCTTAATTGCTCTGAGGCGTATGGAATCTTCCCTCACCGGGATTGAACCAATGTCCCCTTCGTTGGCAGGCAAGATTCTTAACTACTGGACCATCAGGGAAGTCTCCACAATGCCTTTCTTAACCCACAGACCTCTAGAATCCCCAGCCTCACCTTCCAGTCCTAAACAAGCACTCACTCAGCCTTCTGGATTGAAAGCACGCCTCTGCACATATGGCTTTAAGGCTGGGCCTACTCAGGACCTATATTCTTCCCCTTATCCTGGAATATATTATCTGACCTTTTAAAATGGTTTAATAACTAGACTGTCACTCTCCAGGAAGCTTGTTGCCTTGAACCTCTATGGCTGGCGTCACACTTCCAGAACTGCCCCACCTCTGGACTTGAACCTGTGGAGCAGAGGTGGCCTCAGATATTACTGCAGGGAAGTGGAAAGAAGGGCCAGATAGTGAGAGAGGGAGTGGGAGGAGAAGAGGTGGGGAGGGAGTGACTGAGAGAAAGATCTCTGGACCTCTCCTCCAGAAGGGGAGAAAAGTTCTAGTGAGAACTTAGTGCTGACTTCAGTTTCAAAGACAGCAGGTAAACACCCATGGTGATTTTCTAAACTGCAGCTAGGCCGTGAAAGTAACGTTATGGGTTCGTTGGGAGGATTGATTTACAGCATTTGCCTGAGTCCCGCCCCCGCATTCCCCCTTTCATCTCTTCTCTGCGGTGGTCCTCAACCGCATTTGACCTAAATGTCCTCTGAAAGCTTCTGAATTACTCGTGACTGAACAGCGAGGTAGTTTTGTTCCCCTGAGGATTTCTGAGGTTCACTCCAGCCGCTTGCTGAGGTAGGTGGTGTGCGGAGCAGACTGTTCCAGCCAGATTGAGCGCCGGCTTGGGGCGCCGCGGAACATTGCTTCCCTACTCAGTTTCCAATTTACAGTCAGAAGGTAGAAAGTACACTAATTAAATCCATATTAGGAGGCACCGCGGGGGCGGGATGAGGCGAGTGGGAGATGAGGCATCGCGGCTGCCTGTTGCCCAGCAACAAGGGCATCCGCTAAGCTGTGGGGCGCAGCGCCTCAGGCCGCCGGGCTGGGGGTG